TGGCTCTCAGGTGGTGATTTATTTATTTATTTACTAGAAATAAGGCCCGTTGTGGAAATAAATACAATGAGATCTAGAAAGAGGCTCTGGGAGAGTGTGCTGGCTTTGGGCAAACAGTGTCTATTTGCTGTGGCGACCTCAGCAGGGTATAATGACAGAGTCCACTGTTTGCTCCAGAGGGACTGATTTGTGCTACCTGAAGAGCAGTTGTAATTTTGGGTGCTCTCTAGCCCTCACCTGGAGAGTGGCAGCAATTGTTACCCAGGCTCCACCCCTCAAATCTCCAGGATTTTCCATACCTAAAGCTAGCAACTTTATCTCCTCCCCTCTCAGCAACCTCTCTCTAGGCAAAATTCTGTCTTTCTCATTAGCGGGGAGCAAAGCAGCGTACCTCATTCTCTTCGGCTTTGTGATCTGTACAGCAACACTGTAAGGTAGGTTAGGCAGAAAGTCTGTGGCTGGTCCGAAAGCACCCAGGCAGCTTCCATAGGGATGCTCCTACTGAACAGGAGCAAGCAGCCAGGTCTAGTGATGCCATGCCAGTCTGGAGGCATGAAGTCACCCTGAGAGTGCTTGCAGGCCTAGTGTTGCCATTGCCAACAAAGACAAATTGATGCAAAGGAGGATGGAAAAGTCTCCATATCTCTATTTTGCCTTAAATTGGTTTTGATGCCAGCAGAGTGAGAAAATGCCAGAGGCTCTGGGTGGGTGCCCCATCGTAAATGCACGAAACAATTCCTAAAGATTTTCCAAAACACTACTCTGTCGATAAATCAGGCAACCATCAGCCAACCTTTATCTGCCTGTCTGTCTTAAGTTTTACATCCCCCCCCCCCCCGCCTCTGCCTAGGGAAAGGGCAGTCTTTCCCTGCAGTGGGAACCAAAGCAGCTGACATCATTCTCCTCTCCCCCGTATGATCCGCACAACTACCCTATGAGGTATGTTAAGGTTGAAAGTGTGTGAATGGTCCATAATTCCCCAGGCTGCTTTTAAAACATGAACCTGGGACCTGCACACCATCCTCTGAAGCGCTCTCTGTGGCAGTAATGGGGTGACTGCTGGCACCTTTTCCTATCTTTTTTTGCCTTGTGGTATTCTGCTTGTGGTGTGATCTGTCTTCTTTGTGATGTGGCATGATTGTGTTATTGGGTTTGTTTCTTTTGAAGGGGAAGTGATGTGTTGTGAGTGAGGACATATTTTACCTCAGAATACAGTAGGTTCCCATATGCAACTGAAATTGCAACTGCCTTGCGGGGGGGGGGGAGTTTGAGGTGTGGAATGAAGTCCAATCAGCTTCCATATGCAAAAGACCCTGAAATGCTGGGCGGGACTGCACAAAGCAGCCAGTCAACCCAGCCAGCGTCTTCTGACTGACAGTTCTTGCGGTCAAACACTAAAGGTGTGCATTTGGAACGTTGGAGCCCACTACGGCTTTATATATAAGGGAGAGATTTCATTTATACCCCGCCCTCCCCGCATGCGGGTGAGGTGGAGAAATGTGGAGATGTCCATCCTCTTCTCTCACTTGTCTTTGTTGTGTATGTGTTTGCTCAGTTACTTTGGAGAATATTTTGGGACCCTGGCTGCTTTTTGGGTACAGTCCAGATATTTGAACAGTCTCTCTTCCCAGAAGAAGGCTATTGTTAGAAGACTATTCAGTCTTTGGCTTGAAGGAGGGGCATTAGCAGTGAACATCTAGTATCCCTTAGCAAGAACTTCACAGGTAAAAGCCAAATTCCTGTTTCTAGCTCATTGGCTCCAGCAGTCTGTTGAAGAAGTGGGGCTGCTATCGATCTAACCTTCACGGGAAGGGGTTCCAAGAGTTATTATTGCTAAGTTACAGCAGTTTCCAGTAAAAAGCCTGCTAAGATGGGTGAATTGTAAGTGGAAGCTGGCATGCCGGGAATTGTTAATCTTTAAAACTGCTGTTGCTGCCGCACATTTTTAGCTGAAGTGTAAATTCCTAGAGGATCAGTTATTAAATTATTTGCCACAGTCCTTCAGAGTACCTCTTGCTTCATGTGTTGCCACTTTTTATTAGGTTGTTGCCTGAGAGGCTAGGATAGAAAACTCCAGACAGTAGCTTTATAAATAGAGACGTACCTGTGGTCAATTCACCAGGTAAAGACATTCTGCTCTTGTTGTTTTACCAAAACACACCATCTAGAAAGAACTGAGGGATATGTGGAAGTTCCTATTTGGGCAAGAGATTCTTATGAACAAATGTACAATTTTTTTCACAGGTTCCACACATTACTAAGTTACCCCAAACCACACTTTCAAGCTGAATTTGGAAGATCCCATGCTGTCACAACACCCAAGGAACTGTAATTCAATAAGTCCAAAATAATGTCTAATTCTTAGGAGAGAGGCTATTTAATTTGCTGACTGGCTGAAGACCAGTCTGGAAAGAGATGTGAAGCATCCAGGAACCATTTCCACAGTAGTGAAATTATGCATTATATGAAACTTTCCTTGGATTTTTTCTCACCAGGCACAGACCTGACGTTTTCTCCTTTTTACCCTGTGTTTTCAGAATCCCCAGTTTTAGCGTGTTCTGAAAACGCAGGGTAATAAGGAGAAAACGTCAGGACGGCGCCTGGTGAGGAAAAATCTACTGTTGAAATTTTCACATAATGCAGTTTTTAAAATGTCAATACGGGGAATTTCACTACTGCGGAAATGGTCCAGGTTTGACCTGGATAATGTTGATTGTTAGGATTTATGCATCCAGGTTTGCTGTTATGAGGTACCCTGCTGAAGGCCAGTAGGAACAATCTGTTCATCCACATGAATCTTGGAGTGAGCCTTGGCTTGCTTATCTGATGGCACAAAATGAGCTTGGTGTGGAAGTAGTGTGTTTGGGGTCCATACTGAAAGCATGAGGGTTTACTGCCAGCTCTGGAGTGGTGGGAGTTGGACCTGAGTCCTTGTTTGAGCCTGCCTTAAGGCTTTGAGCGGATGAGTAGATAAGGTTGCCAACTTTAGGTTGGGAAATTCCTGGATATTTGGGGGTGAAGCCTGGGAAGGGTGGGGTTTGGGGAGGGGAGGGACCTCAGTGGGGTATAATGCCATACATACATACATACATATTATACATACATGCAAGGCAGCCATTTTCTCCTGGGGAACTAATCTTTGTTGTTTGGAGATCAACTGTAATTCCAAATGATCTCCAGGCCACTGGATGTTGTTAATGGAGGAGTGTTTGATTTTCTATGGCCTGATGTACACTGCAGGTGGAACAGAGGTAGCAGGATCACACCTCTGGACAGCAGGTAGAGGACACAGGGGATGATTTCCCACAAGCGCTGCTCCGCGCTCACTCCTCCCTTTTGCCCCGATGGTACGTGTCAATTTCACACAAGCTACTGCGCGCCCACATTTTGCCCCGCAGCTTCGTGCGATTTCCCCCGCATCTACTCAGTCCTCAAAAAACAGAATTGAGTAGATGCGGGGGAAATCGCACGAAGCTGCAAGGCAAAATACAGCTGGGCAGCAGCTTGTGTGAAATTGACACATACCATTGGGCCAAAGAGAAGAGTGAGCTCGAAGCAGCGTTTGTGGGAAATCACCCAGGGTTTTTAAAAATGCTGTGTTACTCCATCAGCTCCTTACAGCAAGAAAACCAATATTGTAGGCAGCAGGCTGAGTCAGAACCCTTTACCTTGGTATGCTATATTTTTATTTGTAGAGGGTTCTTTCAAAAATGGCATCCCTGGTTTGTAGTCTGAAGTACTGCAGACTGCCCTATCACCTCAAGTTTCTCTCACCTTGTTCCCCTGCACGTCAAGTGCATTCAAATGTGATGTTTTGTGGTCAAGAAGAGCTCACCTATGAGACATTGCACACCCCTCATGTCTCCTTTAATTTGGGCCCCGGCATATGGAGTTTCGCAAAATGAGCCAGCGCACAACACCCTCCTGGGCTAAGGATTCTGTGCAAAGGTTGCTCACGTAGAAGCTGAGTGCCTGGTTTCAAGGAGGCATTGGCCATGGGAAACTTCCTCACAAGTGTCTTGTTTAAACAGTTTAACTATATAGAGCCGGGTCTAAGAGTGTTGTAAATCCTCCTGGGCTGTATGTTTTGCCAGGCTGTTTTCGAAGCTACAGATGTGCCAGATGATTGAATATTTCTCTGTATAATTATAGCACATTAGGGTAGGGTTGTCAAATGCTTGCTGAGGAGAGGAGATTTCTTGCCCCCAGTGGCCATTGCCCATTGGCACTTCAGCAGCCAACAGGAGGGGGAGAAATTAAATCACCATCAGCAAAAGCATGACATCACTTCTAGGGAAACCTGCAATTTACGTCCCCTCTGGAATCACCTAGAGAATCACCAGAAGCTGCGGTTTTATCATGACATTTTTAACATCGCTTTTAGCACCCCACCAACTTTGTGTCAAGGAGAAAGTTCTAGATTATTCTTTCCTCTGGCATGGTAGTTTCATGTTTGTAGGGAGTATTTTATGTGAAGCATTTCAGATATTCCCCCACCAGGGCCTGCAGTCTGAAATCATGTGGCCTACCAACAAATACAGAAGATGGAAATTTTGCTCATATCGAGGAGAGCCAAATCACATCATCGCTTTTTCTAACATGGGCAAAGTCATTGTGAGTTGACATATGCAATTGAGTTTGATACTTGGAAGTAGTCCAGTGAGCGGCCAAATGTAAATCTGATTTGAGGTTTGTCATATCTTGATTTCAAACCATTGAGGAAAAATCTTCTGGGACAATTTGAGGCATCATCTAGAGACAAAGATGCCAAAATCCCCTGAGAAAATTTAGCTTGAGTTGATCTCAGTGCATCAGAGAAGTTTCTGTGAACTGACCCTAAGAGTATTATGTCTAGAGGGGAGTCTAGAGGGGAAGAGCAGTACCGGGGAGGCTCCAAACCAGCAATTCTGTCAGTGGCACTTTCCCATTCTTTCTTTGAAGGTTTTTGCTGGAAGGTTGAATGATAATAATTCAACGATGTGTTGTCCCCTTTGTTTCAGTGGTTTCCTGCGGCCACCCTGGATCCCCACCTTATGCCCAGATCTCAGGGGATGTGTATACAGTTGGTTCTGTAGTGCGCTACAGTTGCCTGGAAGGGCGAAGTTTGATCGGCAATTCCACGCGCATGTGTCAGCTTGATGGGCGCTGGAGCGGCTCTCTGCCTCATTGCTCAGGTGGGGAAAATTGGCAGCATGACTGAGGCGGATGGAATAGTTCACTTTTGAGTTATTTGCTTTACAAAAGAAAGGAAAAAAAAGGATTGTGATGAAAAAGTCACCCTTGCCTGCCATTAACAATTCCCCTTTTTATATCCAGGGTTGCCCTTTCCAAGTCCCAGACCACTGCATTACCTGCCATTAACAATTCCCCCTTTTTATATCCAGGGTTGCCCTTTCCAAGTCCCAGACCACTGCATTGATGTTGGGCTTAAACAACATGCTGCTTCTCAGCTTTTCAGAGACACCTGCCTGGTTAGCAGCCCAGCTCCAGAAAGCCCATCCAAATAGAACGTTCCCTTCCATGTTCAGAAACAGAATGTCTCTGAGAACCAGATGGCAGCATTAAAAACACAAGCACCGGCCATCACGTTAATGCCCCACTTGAGAATCCTCAGAGGCATGTAGCCCACTGATGAAAAGAACATACGGAAGTAGATGGGCCTTTGGTCTAATTCTCTGGGACACTCCCTGTTTTCTTTTGTTCACCACATAAAGCAGAAGCAAGAAGTGTAAAATACTGACGCGGTCTTCCTAGAACTGTGGGAGCAAAGAACTCTGTCTGGTTCAAGTGGGATATATTTATTCACTAGCCTGATACCTGTGCTTCGCTACAGTATTTAAGTTCCATAAATCCAGTTATAATACTGATGATGTAAAGTTTGAAATGTAACATTTGTCGTAGGAATTCTAATGGAGAAGATTGTAGTGTAAGAAATGAAGCGAGACATACATACTTTTTTTCTCTCTACCGAAGGACCTCTCGCTAGACCACATTGGTGGTTCTGCCCTCAGGTGCTAGGATCACCAGGCTGCTTGGTGAGCTCACTCTGGAGCAGGCAACATAGAACTGTCCATTTAAGAAGCACTCGTCTGTTAAGTCAACTCCTGCCACCTTCCACGAAAGTGATGGCCTCTCTACTTGTGTTCCTGGCTTGTTTTGCTCATATGGAGACTGTTGTTCTGAGCACCTCCGGGTGATCTCGCTGGTACTTGGCCTGTGCAGCTTAGTGCCCTGCAGGAGTACTATGTGCAAATGTCTTTGCTGCATCCCTAAATTACCTCCTCCTCGTAGTGTTGGTGTATCCGGCTCAAAGTTTGCCAAGAGCCGCCTTGGGGGCAGTAAGAGGTGAGAGGTGTGAGGGGGAGTTGGTGTGAAGGAGTGGTGATGTGGTGGACATTTCTTCAGGTTCATGAGGGAGGCACACATCAAAATGGCTCCTAGAAATGTCCTTTACTATCTCCCCATAAACATTCATACCCTGGCCCTGCTCCTATACCTGACAGACACCGGCCTGTCTGGTGTTGGGGGGGATTGTATTTAAAGGCATTGGGGAGGCTGGGCTAGCAGCAGGGCTAAAGCAATCCTGCTGAGCAAACCTCCCCAGTGGCTGTAAGCATCCCATCTCCTCTCCTACACCTGACAGGCAGCTGCCTGTCCAGTGTAGGAGGGGGAGGGGGGAGGAGTATTAGAAGCCACGGTGGAGGCAAGGCTGGCAGGATCACTAAGGCGTTACTGCTGGGGCAGGCTCCCTCATGGCTTTCAGCACCCTGCAACCACTGCTGCACCTGACAGACAACTGCCTGTTAGGTGTAAGAGGTGGTGGGAGTGTGTTGGAAGCCATCAGAGAGGCTGGGCCAGCAGCTTTGCTTCACCTCACAGGTGGTTGGCCACTCCTGATTTCCTCAACTGTCATTAGCTCTCTGCAGTCTCCTGTAACTGTTTTATTTTACCTCAGAACACTGAGCTCTGCAGCTGACCAATCAGAGAGCACATTTCCCCCCTTTTCACCCACTTAAGGGTCGAATTTCTAAAAATCCCTCCTTAGTGAACACCTACGCCACGGTAGGAGCGCTCTCCCTGAATTTGGTGTCTCTAGGTCTAGTGGTTTGGCCTGGGCGTTGATCTTAAGGTGAGGGGACTTTATTTTATATATATAGATGTGATGAGTACTAGAAAAATGGTGTGTTACCCTCCCCCCATGGCCCCCATGTTCAGGGCTATTGGATTGTGCTACTGAAAAGAGCAATCAACAGCCTTACTTGAGGAGTGCTTCTGGGCTCGGGCCTCTTCAGACAGTGGATGAAGAATAGTTTACATGCCTTCTCCTGTAATAATCTCTCTGCTCCTGTATGCTGTGGTCTGGATTGTGGGAACTATAGGTGACCTTGCCTCTCAGCAGGGGGTTAGGAGGGGGAGGCTGCCTTTAGATCACTTCATTCTCTTTCC